CAAGTTATTGTTACAAAGAGATTCCACACTCCCATGTTCACCGGGCGGGCGTTCTTTGGCATCTTATAGTTTGACAACCTGCAGCCTTCTGGAAAGACCTCACAGCGAAAAACGCAAAGGACGCAAACGCCTATTTACATGGGTTGCCAATATACCCGCCACATAATCATTATGTGACATTATATTTCAACAAACGAGGGCGATTGATTTCCATTAAAAGACGGAGTGTTACAATACCTCTATGTACACGACCAAAGAAAATGGCCAAGGTGCTATTCGTCATGCCTAATTGTAGGTATTGGCCTTGATACTAGTACCGTTTTTATTATTACCATGGCAACAATTCAAGCCGAAGCTTATGGTGTCTGCCGATCAATTGTTGTGTAAATATGAAGTGTGTCAGTGGTGATAATGTTCCACTTTGAAACATATGCCTTTGCTTGCCTTTCCCCGAGCTCGACCTCCAATCAATGGTCGTATTGGAAAGTTCACTTTCTTGTGTCTATTTACTTTTCTCTGCCATTTTGTAAAGCCAGGAGTTAACGACTGATCAAAACAAACTTGTAACTTTCGGAAAATGAATCTTTAATGCTCTTTCTTACATACATGTATATGACAATGCATCTCCCAGAAAGGTAAATCAGTGCTGAGTGTTAACAATACGGCTCCGTGTATTGTTAAGTGCAAAGATCGATCATACATGAAGTAATTCCAGCTATGTTATGCTTATCTACTGTGAAGACTCATCAGTGTTTTGCGTGATAGTTACGACATTAGTTCTGGCAAGGAAACAATCTGAAGGTGACACATACATGGGTTTCAATTGTCTCCAAAGTGTGTATGCATTATAAATATTCTGATAATGGAACACATACGAAAAAAGATTAAAATTGGACCGTTGGTAGTGCAGTGGAAGTTCAAGATATTATCGAGGATCCTGTTTTACAAAGTGATTGGCAGGTTCCAGTTTTTAACATCTAGATAATTTTGTACTGTGGTTCACGTCCTTGACATGTTATCTAGTATGCTATTCTCGGTCGTGCTTATCTCTTTCAGACGGATTGAACTATGTGAATTAAATGGTATTTTTTATCCCATGTTGATAATAATGTTTGAATCTGTTTACCAGGTAACATTCCAAAATAATAAATAATTAAACACATGTGACTTCGAATATTTCTGCACATTACACATAAATAGTTGCGTGGAAATATGTGGACATGTCCGTGATTCTATCGTAAATGTTTCTCGCTTATAGCTTTGTATGCCTGATTGAATCAACTTTTGGTTAATGCTTGAAGCCTCGCTTATAGCTTTGTATGCCTGATTGAATCAACTTTTGGTTAATGCTTGAAGCCTCGCTTATAGCTTTGTATGCCTGATTGAATCAACTTTTGGTTAATGCTTGACGCCTCTTTTCACATAACCAAAATAATGAATTCGTAATGTTCCAGATTTCCTTCTGTGTGACGGCAACAAAGATGTAGGTCATAATCCCGTGAGTTGTGATACGTTCATTATTAACTACAAGCATGCAAGTTAAGAAATAGAATAAGTCTGTCCGCCTCGTTCGTCCCTCCCCTCTCCTCCCAGTAAAGACGCAATTATTTATTTGGAACTAATTTGCCTTTTAGCTCAATTGAATAGAATAACTGTGACTCGTTCTTCATTAGCATAGACGTGTTATACTGTCATGTGTTATGTGAAAGAGGTATCACAAATGGTAATACCGTCTCCTGGACATTATGCTCGGTATTTATTATTTTTTTCACGTTTTTATACCCAGAATTATGTTTATAGACTTTATCTCAGTAGTACAGTATATGCAGCTTCACAGTACACAAGCACAGTGTTTCCTTGATCACATTGTCAAATATCATGCTGTTCACATGTGTAAAATGCTAAGTATTTTTTTTAAGGGGACGGTGAGCAAATGCCACATGGACTATTTCAATATAAGAACATAAATTTAGGTTGAAAAGCAGATAATGGCTGCGTACACGACAACAGTTAAGTGTGCTTATCTGGCTGACCTTTGACAATTAGAGTAACAGCTTGCTTTGGCCACATTCAACACTTTCCGACTGTTCTGCGTAGCTGTGGTTTTTCACCCATTATTTATTCTGGTAACGGTTACAACTCTCGCTCACTGGATTATTTTTCAAGAAAACATAACAATAACAAACTAGTTTCTAAGTCCATTAATCAGGCACAGTTAATTAGTTGACTGCGTGTTGCAATAACAAGCAATCAGCTAATTAACCGTACCTGATCAACGGGTGCAGTTTGTCCCCCTTTACTACAAGTATACTAGTATATTAGGTGATCTGTTCCCCTTGGGAAGAACTTAGTGTTAGTTTAAAGGTTTCCTGTGGGGTGTTTGAGTAAGCAAGTGTCTGCCATGTTCTAGCTCGGCACTGCCAATGTAACATGGAATGTAAAAATCGCCGATAAAGACGGAAACAGTTTATCAAGAATGCACGGATATATGCTGGAATGTGTATGTGCATGCGTGCGTGCGTGTGCGCGCGCGTGCGTTAGTGTGTGTATGTGTGTGTGATGTCTATATCACATGTCACCATTTTGGAAATGCCAGAAGACGTATACGCCCTCAGATTGCAACAGCAAGCACTGAACTGATATATTGTGCCTGATTAACGGTCACGCTATATAAAGCCTAATTCAGGAATAACGCACACATTTGTCTTCCAAGAAATTATAAACCAAAGAAAATGTACTTCACAGCTGTTCTTGTGATCGAAATGTGGTCAGAAGTCTGTAAAACGAAATTTCAACTTTAATTATTAGTCCTATCTGCCATATTTTAACGTAATCTTATAAAAATAGCCCTTCACCCTTTTGCCACATTTACAAGAACTATTTGATTCATTTCCCGAAGCCGTAAAGTTATCAAGTTGCATTGAAAGTATGCTAAAACTATGCTTATTCAGTATGCTTAAAAGGATAAAATGCTGAGGAATAGCCCCATTTGTCGAAATATGTATGGCAGTAAGACTCTATGGTCACTTGTCACCTTTCTCGCTGTAGTTTATGACACATAATTGACCTGTGTAGCCTCATCATGAACGAAACCAAGGGAATGTACCTCATCAGAACGGAAACAGTTGAAACGCCTTCCGAATGTATAATAAGGAAACGTTTATCCATCACTATCAAATTGTGATGGCACGATCGCCGGCACACAAACCCGCTCAGCCACCGCGGCTTTCACAAAAATGGAAGTCGGACTACTTGTTGTACGATTTCCATATTTGTTGAAGCCGCGGTAGCTGAGCGGGTTTGTGTGTGCTGGCAATCAGGTGCCTGACTCTGAGACTGTGGGTTCAATTATTCACCTGAAAACATCCGAAACACCCCGTGTCGAACATAAAACCAGTGTATGAAATAAGGCCCGTCCGAACGCCTGAGACGGGCTTGATTTCTGCCGGACGGTCTAATTTTACAGCTACCAGCCCGATGGACGGGTGAAAATAATATTCAGATAATAACGTGTCAACTGGTACTGTCTATTCAGGATTTAAGAAGGTCTGATTAAATCTCTTCTGGGCTGTAAGTTTTTTAAGTTACCAGCCCAGATGTCTGGCTGGGTTTTTGGCTAATTTCATACACTGATAATATATTTTGAAAGCTTTATGGTGGGCTGGAAATGATAATAAGATGTAACAACACATCTTTCCAACTATGCTTACAACTAGAGACTCTGTTTCACATATAATTATTTCACATATTGATAGACATTCTGCTTTTTTGTTTGTTGTTTAACGCCGCTCTCAGCAATATTCTAGCCATATGGCGGTAGACATTCTGCACTTACATGACCCGACTAAGGACAGTAACAGATAATTCACAAAGAAATGTGAACTTCTTAGCATACAGATAGCACAGTACATATGGGACAATCGAGCAGTGCGTAACTGTCATTATCAGAAAATGATTATGGTCAGGCCTCATCCACTAGATGAGGTGAGGTGAGGTGAGGTGAAATTGGGTTTAACGTCGTGCTTGAGAATATTACGCTCATATGACGACGTGCATACGTTTGTATGGGATGTGCGGCTGCTTACTAGCCCAGACTGAAGCTGGTTTTATAGTGCTAGCCCACTGAGATACCATGCCGCAGTGAAGCAGGAATACCCCACTCAGGCACATTATACTGACTCCTAGCCGACCAGTCCTTGTCGTACCCATTAATGCCGAACGCCAGGCAGGGACCAACAAGGACCACATTTTAACGTCTTTTGGTATGACGCGGTCGGGGATCGAACCTGCGACCTTCCGCTCTCCGGGCGGACGCTCTAACCACTACACCACGGAGGCGGTCTCGATGTATATATAAATGACCTCGATGTATATATAAATGTCCAATGCCGGGACAGTTCTCTCATGGTCTTTGGATCTGATCGTCATTGTGTAATATTATGGGAGCAAACTTTCAGAAGAAAATGCTCGGGCTCCTTCTCAACACAGCAAGTGATTCGGAAAACTTTTAAGCCGATTTAGCATTATTCCAGCAACATCACACCTGAAATCGGCTTTACACACTTGACCTAAGTAGGGGATCGATCCGGGTCATCGGCGTGACGAGCCTACGTAATCACTATGTTACCATACCGCCACCCCAACACCCACCCCGAAAGAAAAACCACAGTGATATACAAAATACAGCATCAATAATAAGATTCAAATTGAAAAGTGTGATGCATTTCGTCTGCCATTAAATGACCCACCCCGAAAGAAAAAAGAACACAGTGATATACATAATACAGCATCAATAATAAGATGGCAAATGAAAAGTGTGATGCATTTCCTCTGCCATTAAATGAATACCATTTACGCTCAACAGAATCTGTTTAGACGAATGATCGATATTTGTTGCTCTGTCGCCTTGTAGTGTTAAAATTATACAATTTTACGTCTTGTAATTGTCTTAGCCATCAAACATGTCAAAGTTGGAACGTGTAGAAAAAACACATTGAAACTACATTGACACTATTATTTTAATTGAGAATGCAAGCTGCAGTTTCTGTAGAATATAATTAATTGTTGCTCTGTCTCGTACATGCTCGTTACGGATTGGTGCTGGCAGTTTTTTCTGTAGCAGAATCTCATGAAGCCTTTGTTCTGCGTAGAAGCCTTAATGTGAGGAACACACACAGCGCCATGAGAGCCGCCACAATGCCTCCAAGACAAAGAACGGTCGGCAGGAATTCAAACGGCAACCTACATGAACTGCCGTCACTGACTCGGGACACCGATGTTCCTGGAAAACACAGCATGTTCAGTAAAATACATTCACAGAAATATACATAATTCACTCTTAATTCGAAGCTCACTATGTGACTGTTTTGTGATTCCAAAACGCATTAAAGCGACACCAATCTTGCCGGGTTTGACTTGGAAAGTAGTTAGTTGTGTAACCAGGTGGAATATACATCGATCTCTTCAGCCACTGTCAAGTTATCAATAAATGGATATTATCACAATTTCTTTTAGTGAAGTTTGCTTTCCGAGCATCGTGGACAAAAATACGTCAATATTTGAAAAGCGTAAAGTGTACACGATATTGATGAAGGTATGCGTAAATGTTTCTATATATATTAATAGTCTTCACTTACTTGGTCCATTTGTCTCACTGGTGGGGTCGCTGGTTTCAGGGATATAGATATTGAACGTTTGCTCAACGGTCGTCTCCTCGTTAGATGCCTGACGTTTGCGTCGAAAAGGGATGCACTCCCGCTGAGCACAAAACAGAAAGTTATATAAATTAGCACATTTCATATTGGTCAACCATTAACAACAGGTGAACAAGGATAATGCTAGACCATGGGTTTTTTTAAAATTATTGCTAGTATTTACCACGTCACAGTCTCCAGCGTTGACACACACACGCAGGTTCACTTCCATGGTCAGACGGGAACTGTTGACAAACGTGAAGGCCGAGAAGCAGAACCTGATGGTGCGTTTGTTGGCTTGTGGGTAGAAGGGCACATTGACTAACACAGCGACGGCGTCAGGGTCTTGGCAACTGTAATAATTTATTACCAATTTTATATACAACTGAATGGCTGACTGTTAACAATCCTGAAGATGTTTTTTCGAGGCTGGTTCTCTTGGAGATTTATATATAGTTTTCCCATCGGACAAATGTTTCAAAGAAATTAAACTGTTTCTGAAATTCTCAACTTTCATTTGGCTTATAACCGATGCGTCCTTTCCTTAAGTGTATATCGTCTTGATGTACAGGGCATGTACAGGCACCACAAACTGTTTCTGAAATTCTCAACTTTCATTTGGCTTTTAACCGATGCGTCCTTTCCTTAAGTGTATATCGTCTTGATGTACAGGGCATGTACAGGCACCACAAAGAACTCGGAATATGCACCCATGCTTCCAGCTTCCTATGGGGAGTGGGGTACTAGGTATAGCGGTTAACGCGTTCGCTCGTTGCAACGAAGACCCGAGTTCGATTCCCCGAATTGCTACAAAGTGTAAAGTCCATGTCCGGTGTTCCCCGTCCTGATATTGTTGGAATATTCCTAAAAGCGGCGCTATACCCAACTGACGCTGAGCAAATTTGTAAAATTGGACACGGTCTGGCAAAAGAGATTGTTATCATGAGTGCCAAACGTAAATTTTGTCATTGAACTCAATATTCTTCAGAAGTGATTGAATAATTGTATACACACCCCCTCGTGTACACCGGCCATGATACAGGCGAATCATGGAGCGAGTTGTTGAACGTTATGCCCAGAATCTCCAAGCCGCCAAACTCTGAAACAATGTAATAGTCAGTAGATCAGGTACGGTGTTATGCAACATATCGGTATATATGCATAGATCACATTTACATCATATCTAAACTGTTTAAATATCACCAGCTTACATTTTACAGAATATATTCATACTCAGGTATTTTAAACTCCTCTCCGCATGTACATTATATATGACCAGAGGTTGTCAGAGTTCAAGTGAGTTTTAGTGAGAGAGTTGTTTTACACCGCTTTAGCAATATTCCAGTAAAATCACAGCGGGGACACCAGAAATAGGCTTCACACATTGTAATATGTGGGGAATCGAACTCGGGTCCTCGGTGTGACAAACGAACGCTTTAACCACTAGGCTACCACACCGCACCCAGAGTTCAAGGTTTACAGAGAGTTGTTAACCGTACATGTCGTCCACTGTTTGCGAAACTGTATACCAACGTGAAGCTCACTCGCGATACTCTAACGTACTATCAGTAATTGTGTATGTATAAGGAGAGCAGCTGTACCTTGTGGAACATCCAGTGTGACACAGACCTTCTTGGACAGACGGACCGAGGACGACGATGACAGTGGTGACCCATCAATGTCGGCAGCCAAGGAAACCGGGGAGAAAGTATTGGTCGCCGTTTCGTTGGTGAATGGGCCTCTGTGTGAACATTGTCGACGGTTTACTCAATAAATAATAGATAGCAAAGACACGTTGAGAATACACATAGAGTTGTGTTGTTTATGTGTTGTTTACGAGGTACATAATTCAGACTCAATGAAATAAATAATCAAATCTGAACCAGTCAATAAAGTAACGGATAACATTAACATCGTTCCACTGGGCCGTGATATATATCGTCACACAGTCTGACCATCGTTCCACTGGGCCGTGATATATATCGTCACACAGTCTGACCATCGTTCCACTGGGCCGTGATATATATCGTCACACAGTCCACGTTCCACTGGGCCGTGATATATATCGTCACACAGTCTGACCATCGTTCCACTGGGCCGTGATATATATCGTCACACAGTCTGACCATCGTTCCACTGGGCCGTGATATATATCGTCACACAGTCTGACCATCGTTCCACTGGGCCGTGATATAGTCACACAGTCTGACCATCGTTCCACTGGGCCGTGATATATGTCGTCACACAGTCTGACCATCGTTCCACTGGGCCGTGATATATATCTGTCACTGGGCCGTGATATAGTCTGACCATCGTTCCACTGGGCCGTGATATATATCGTCACACAGTCTGACCATCGTTCCACTGGGCCGTGATTCGTTCCATATCGTCACACAGTCTGACCATCGTTCCACTGGGCCGTGATATATATCGTCACACAGTCTGACCATCGTTCCACTGGGCCGTGATATATATCGTCACACAGTCTGACCATCGTTCCACTGGGCCGTGATATATATCGTCACACAGTCTGACCATCGTTCCACTGACCGCTGATATATATCGTCACACAGTCTGACCATCGTTCCACTGGGCCGTGATATATATCGTCACACAGTCTGACCATCGTTCCACTGGGCCGTGATATAGTCACACAGTCTGACCATCGTTCCACTGGACCGTGATACATATCGTCACACAGTCTGACCATCGTTCCACTGGACCGTGATATATATCGTCACACAGTCTGACCATCGTTCCACTGGGCCGTGATATATATCGTCTCACAGTCTGACCATCGTTCCACTGGGCCGTGATATATATCGTCACACAGTCTGACCATCGTTCCACTGGGCCGTGATATATGTAGTCACACAGTCTGACCATCGTTCCACTGGACCGTGATATATGTAGTCACACAGTCTGACCATCGTTCTACTGGACCGTGATATATATCGTCACACAGTCTGACCATCGTTCCACTGGGCCGTGATATATATATCGTCACACAGTCTGACCATCGTTCCACTGGGCCGTGATTTATATCGTCACACAGTCTGACCATCGTTCCACTGGACCGTGATATATATCGTCACACAGTCTGACCATCGTTCCACTGGACCGTGATATAGTCACAGTCTGACCATCGTTCCACTGGACCGTGATATATATCGTCACACAGTCTGACCATCGTTCCACTGGACCGTGATATAGTCACAGTCTGACCATCGTTCCACTGGACCGTGATATATATCGTCACACAGTCTGACCATCGTTCCATTCGGTCAGATATTGCATAATTATGTTGACTGGCTAAAATTCAAACCAGGAACAACCATAGGGCTTCCCTAGGGATTTATCCTTAAAGACGTCATGTGGTGTGTGCATGTGTGTGACTTGCGAGATAAACTTACCTATTACCAAGGATCACTGCCTTGAAATATGCATTGATAAAGAATTTTTAGATGAACGTAGCTTACACATTCGGGTTTGTGATCACTGCATCCGTGCTGACCAGGAGGTTGTCCTTGTTGAACGTGCATGTTACAATGACTATTTGGTCAAGGCCGGTGTTGATGGCTTGGTTGTACTGGATCGTGAACATCCTTTTGTAAATAATGTCAGCACTCTGTAAATACACAAGTAATACAGAATTTATAGTATTGTATTTGTTCAATAGTCCAATGACAATCCGCTAAATTAACCCTTTACCATGTTGTCGCTAAATGGCTGACATGATGCTGATGCCACGTTGAATGTTAACTCACACGTACCGTACTATGAGTCAGAACTGCACTATTTAGAGAAACGCTTTGAGTGGAGGTCATGCATCGGTGAGTGTGATTGCACTGGCACTGCAGTTATCAGTGTTCCAGCAATAGACAATTTAACTACTAGCCGACCCATCATCCAGCATAGAAATGATACACTTGCACAGTCCTTGCAGTTCAATTTCATGTGGCTCAACTCGTGAAGATCCGGGTTAGAATTGATCTTCAGAAACCCATGCTTGTCATAAGAGACGACTAACGGGATCGGGTGGTCAGACTCACTGACTTGGTGGACATGTCAGTTGCGTCGATCAATGCTCATGCTTTTGATCACTGGGTTGTCTGGTCAAGACTCGATGATTTACAGACCGCCGCCATATAGCTGGAATATTGCCGTGTGCGGCCTACAACTAAACTCACTCATGTGGCGCAGGCTAGCTATTCTCGAAACGTTCGAATTCGTAACCCTACGAACTTCTTAAGCCCATTCTTAACACATTGGCTACGATCAAAGTTAAGAATTCTTAGGGCTACGAACGGTTCGAGAATAAGGGCCCTGGGCCCAGGTGTCTTAGCACGCCGCAATTCGCTGTACACAGTTGCGTCCCTTGGGCAAGCCAGAAACCTATGATTGTAGGTTCAGATCCCGACGCTTTCCATTTGTGTGGGTGTTTCACATCAAGATGATGCGTCGTGATATAACTATAATATTCTTGAACTCAACACACTCACTCAATCACTCAGTCACTCGCTCAGTCACTCAATGTGATATGAACAACGTGTTACCTCTTCCTGTGGTGTGATCGCTCCACATGCAGCACTGGCATGGGTAACATTGACAAAGAAACCTTTCAAATCATCGTCGATGTCGTCTCCTGTATATGGCGGATCGGGTATGCTGGCTGCCGCGCAATCACTTTGTTCCCTCTTATCTGTGACATATATTGCCCCTTCAAAGTCTCCGTGTGGGTTTGCATAGAACACCATGTAGTCCTTGGTACATTCAGCTTTAACTGGTTAAAAAATATATCAGCATAACAAAGCAATATCTACAGTAATTTAACTTCAGATATCACATGTTACCGAAACACAGAAATACAAAATTATTATATATATACGCACAAAATGTCCAAAATAGTACAGGTGTTCAGTCATAAATATTACATAGATAAATAAAAACAGAATGCCTTTTTCTCCAACATGTTTCGTTCTTTACTCTTCAGGGAGGCATTCTGTTTTTATTTATCTATGTAATATATATTAATATATATATATATATATATATACATACATACATACATACATACATACATACATTTATATATATACACACACACACACACACACACACATAAGTAGATAGATAGATAGATAGATATAACGTGTTTAAAAACGTTTTAAGGTACTAGCTAAATATACAATTGTTGAGGGGTATCTTTGATATCTCATCTCTAAGAATTAACGTATGTGCTGTTTTCGACACAAATTTAAAACACTGTATCAATGGAAGGGGTCATGTGGTTCAAATTTCGATTTTACCCTTTTCCACTGAACAAATGTGTTTTAAAACACCATCAGCAAGCCGAAGATTATTTTTACAGACTTTCAGGAGTGAGTGATAGTTGAATAGACATCATCTATTTAGATACAATAACACGGTATGCTATCTTTTGCCGCTCAGTTAAATAAAGCATGTTGGTTTGGTTTGTTTGTTTGTTTGTTTAACGCCGGACACAACAATATTCCAGCTACACGGCGGCGGTCTGTAAATAATCGAGTCTGTACCAGACAATCCAGTGATCAACATATCATGAGCATCTATCTACGCAATTGGAATACAATGACCAAGTCAGTGAGCCTGACCACCCGATCCCATTAGTGGTAACAAGCATGAGTTACTGAAGAGTGAAGACCAATTCTAACCCGGATCTTCACGGGTTAAAATAAAGCATGTAACTAGTGACATATGAATCTGTACTCACAGATGTTGTGTTGGCAGTTGTCTCCATAGTAACCAGGAAAACACGCACATGAAGGAGCCACGGGGTCTTCCTGACATTCTCCATGGTCGCTGCAGTTGTTCTGGCGGCAGGCACTGTCGGCCTTCCGGTCTAGAGTCATACATTACATACGGTCAATAGTAAAATATAATGTTAATACGCGTCTAGAGTGTTGCTAACTAAAACCGTTCAATACCTTCTGATAAATCATTATACTAACAACAATGATGAAAACTTGTATTCATCAACTATAAATCTTCAATGCCAGAAAATATCAACTATCCGACGAAACTGATTAAATTCAGCATAAAATGCTAAACGGGGATGTAAAATATATGACTGGATCGACTCCTGGTAATGACACCAGGTGTTCGTGCAGATAGCACACACCACTAACGCCATGCGCATAGAAAGGTGCGCGTGACGCCGCACATCAGTACCGCTATGCGACGCTGGTGCTCGTGGAGAAACCAGACAATCGAGTGATGGACCAGAATATCCTGTGATATGACAGATCATTGACTGATGTTGAAACTTAAACACTCAATGTTTTACATGTATTACATGAAATTAAAAGTCCATGCAGCAGGTTTTTTCGGTATGTGGTGAGTGCACCGTCTATCCCCTATAGTCTCCAGATCACGTTGTACCTGTTACAATGTTGCACATGTCGCCCTCCCTTGGGGGATCACCAACACATTCACACAGTGGCAATGTTGGGCGACACACGTCTTCTGAAGCTGAGCACCCGCTACCCTTCCGGCGGCAGTCAAAAGGCCTACTTCCTGTAATTCAGACATAATATCCATTAAGAGACCCTTCTCGATGAAGTAACCTACAAAAGACCCAACCAAAGCAATAGAAACAGTTTCGTTACTGAATGAAGATGATCGGGCGGTTATCATGCGTGGTTTATCTGTTTGTGTGCTCATGATATCAACCACTAGTCTGACCAACTTTGACGATTTAAAGTTTGCTGTGATACATGTCACTGCGACATAAAAGAACTTTATCCCAACTGCTCAAATCCCCAAAGCAATTCCGTTATCACTCCAAAACAAACTGAAATCATGTTCAACCTTTCTTTATGTAAGAACACACAAAACAAAAACACCACATTCAGATGGTCTGTTAGGAAAGATCGGAATCCAAAACACATCATGTATTAAAGTTTATTCCAAGGGCAAAATGTCGTGTAGTACAAAAAGAACCTCCCATTTAGATGAAGAGTAATATTCCTCAAAGGACGATGTTTACATTGCCGAATAAATAGATAGATATATCGTACAGAAAAGTGGTGATATAGATTTCATAGTGTTATTCTTGCAAATAATAAACGTTTATCTGTAAATGGGTCTATCACTACATTGATACTTCGCATACAGACTTACCCTCATTGTCTACTATCGTGGCATTAATGGAGGAGAAGTTTGCCCCAGCAATACTCAGTGTGAAGACCTCATCACCTTCAATTTCCTGGAACGTAATTAAGGGATGTAAAATAGTAGTAGTTGTTTGTAGTTCATCACAAAGGCGTTGTACATATATAATATGGAGCTGTTATTTGTCACAGAAGTGGTGTACAGATTTAATATAAAATTGCTATTTTTCACAGAGGCGGTGTACAGATTTAATATACAATTGTTATTTTTCACTGAGGCGGTGTACAGATTTAATATAGAATTGTTATTTCCACAGAGGCGGTGTACATATTTAATATAAAATTGTTATTTTCACAGAGGCGGTGTACAAAATTAAAACAAACTTGTTATTTGTCCCAGAGGCGGTGTACAGAATTACTATAGAGTTAGTTAGTGGTTAGTTTGTGTTTAACTAATGGTATTTGTTCTGAAATCCTGGTTGAAAACTGTTGTTCTGTTATTGCACGTTTACAACATTCTAACAGCCATCGGTATATGCATCTATGCGTAGACTGTAGATTGATCAATGATTTCAGCCAAGGTGTATAGGTCTAAAAATCAATTAGAAGAGTTATCAAGAGGAAAAAACAAACCAGAATAAAGCAAATACAATTAAGCATTTTTCAATGCTAAGGTAGCATACAGGTTCGAACCAGATACAAGCATGTCGTACTTACGTCATCATCTGTGATATCAATGGTTAACGTGGCAGTGAGTGAACCGCTGGGGAAAGTGACAGAACTATCGGACAGGTGTGTGAAGTCATCAGCTGCTGTCGTCACATCCGTCGTGGTCACCTGGACTGTCAGTTCATCAACAGCTAGTGTCCGTTGCAACGTCACCTTCTAGACTGGTCGACTCATACGATGCCGGGAACGAGGTCAGCGTTACAGTGTCGACTTTGGAAGTAAAACATAACGGTACAGGATATATTCTTCAGAATGTATAAGCCGATCTTTCATTTTACCAGATTAGCTGTGGTAAATAATTGTCGCTTTCATCAAACTGAAATTCTACTTTACCATCTTAAAAATTCAGCTTGTTGTTCACCGTTTGCATGTAACTAAGTAACGAGGCAGAGGATCAGCCTTCGGGGAGTCCTGTCTGTAGTCTCCAGGCGTTTGTTCGTGAAGCAGATTCTCTCGTCTGTAGGTAATGTATCATTGGAATTTTGCTAAACCAGAGCTGGAGAATACTGAGAGGTTTACCAACCAATAAACGTAATTCTTAGAGAGACATACATTGGGCTGAACGCTTTCAGCTGTACGTCATTCAGGCCCCGATTTCTCGAAAGAAACTTAAGTCTGAGTTTTGACTTAAGTTAGAGTTTTTACTCAAATCTGAGAAAAGGCAGGAAAATGCATTTCCCAGAAAGAACTGAAATCGATATTTAAATCAAACATAGTAGGCAATTTGAGTTTAGTGGATAGATTACTTAAGTTGTTTGGGCTTTTTAATTTGAAAAATGCAGTTGAAACCATTTCAAGAGTAATAAGGACGAATTTGCACCCACGATCATATGCGTTTCCTGCGCCTAATTAACATAGTATTTGTACTGCAACCACCCATGGTGCCCTTTTTGTCATAATTTCAGTAACGCTGGCACAGATGAACTAGTCGTAAGTCCCACCAAGGTTATGTCACCGGCCTTCGCATGATACAGATATATCTGCCATGTAATCGTTCCATTTCATTAATTTCACACAATATCATTACACAATTGGCTCAGGAAAGTCACTTTAAAGATTTGTTATACATCATCACCTAACATCTAGTTACTGACAGATTATGTGTCTGTACGACGGCTTTACTGTTATTAAACTGTAAGAGTTACCCACCCTCGTTGTCGTAAGAGTTACCTACCCTTGTTGTCATCTATGAAAACAGTGACCTCAACACTTGATGTCAGTAACGGAGAACTGGCGGTCACATTGAACGACTCTCTTGCTTCATACACCTGCAAGAATGAGTGAGTGAGTTTAGTTTTACGCCGCTTTTAGCAATATTCTAGCAATATCACGGCGGGGGACACCAGAAATGGGCTTCACACATTGTACCCATGTGGGGAATCGAACCTGGGTCTTCTTAACCACTAGGCTACCCCACCGCCCTACACACCTGCAAGAAACGAAATATACATGCAGGAAATTATGACAAATACACATAATGACTCAAAATCCTTACCATAAAGAAGATATTGATTGTATAATCGACTTTTACATATTATGTAAAGGACGAGTTGGGATATGTATCTTGTTCTCACTTGAATTGTTAAATGTTAAAGATATGAAATACTTTGAAATAATTTATTGAAATTAATTTATTAGATACACAAAATGGCTAGCAATGAACTTCTTTCTCAGAATTATGGTTGTAAATGCTGGGCATACACATCTTCTTTAAACTTGGATCCAAGTCCTATTCATATTCAAGTATCACAGAAAGCGCGTAGTGAAAACCTTTAATTTCGGCTCTTCTGAACATGTATTGACTGTGATAGACATGCTTGAGTTGAATATTAAATTCAAAGTATGACTATCATTAACTTTTTGGCACACCTTATCCTCTGACATAGCTAGAACAGTACGTGCTGCGGTTTTATACAACATTCAATCACAAACCCACTCAGTCAACCTGCGTGACATGACATGTGTTGCCTTGTCTTGGTACATATCAAGCGGCTGGTGGAAAGTGTGGAAAGTGTAACTGTCAGAACATGCGGAAAAACACAATACCACCTGTACATTCACAACAGTCTTATCAGGAGATCATGTGAATTCACAGACTGATAGTGAAATAGAACAACACACAGAAATAGAACAAAACTGTGCAATGTACTTGTAATGTATTTCATGAATAATCTCACTATACATGCACGTGGAACTATATGAAAATATTTTGCATGAGAATGGAAACAATATGCACAAAAACATATTTAAGTTTAATTTAACCACTACCACGACTACTACTACCACTAACTACTACAACAACTACTACTACTACTACTACTACTACTACTACTACTACTACTACTACTACTACTACTACTACTACTACTACTACTACTACTACAGCAACTTATGCTATGCGAATTAGCTAAGACCTTGTAGAGCGCAGCGTTATACAAGCTACTGCATCTGTATACACAAGAAATGTCCTTGACACACTCTATATATGTGGGGATCTCGACCCCGTCTGTCGAAAGTTTTCACCAGAACTTTACCACACACTCGTATTAATCGAGTGGCAGTGAGGTAGCTTTGTGGTTAAGCGTTCGCGTGTCACGACTAAGATCCGGGTTCGATTCCGCATATGGATACAATTTGTGAATATATGGTAAAACCATACTCACACCCACAGACTCCCTCACACACTACGATAAAATCGTACAGATTTCACACACACACACACACACACACACACACACACACACACACACACACACATGTGACAATACACACACAAAAACAACCCACACCCCACACCCCACACACGAAAGTTCAGCTGCTCAAAGATACAGAAACTTACAGACTTTTTCACCTCATGAATTATAACGTAATGGAAGGTGCACTCTACACGTACATTTGTGAAGTATTTTTCTGATGTTATCTTTATTGATGAATAAAGAATATGATGAATATCAACACGTTGTTCAGTCGTATTTTACGGCACACGGAAGATCATTCTCAGGTTGAAAAGTTCTCTAAACCGGCACCCCATCTATACCGGTTTAGAGGGCTTCCACTGTACATACTAATATTTGTACAGCGCCAATATCCAGCTCAGCTGCTCAAAGGCGCTTTACCGACGACAGTTGGACACCTGGGTACCCATTCCACTACTAGCCCCTTTCCATAACCCCCGAATGTTGTTTCCAGTTAGTAGATGTGAGGAATCTGAGAAGGGTCTTTTTTCGATTACAGAATCTTCAAAATCGAAGAACGAGGCAAACCCACTAGATGTATGAACATAAAGAATGGAAATACACGTCTATGACCTACAGCTGTAAATGTATACATACAGTTAAAATGTGTTCAAAATGCTGATTTTACAGGTTTCAGGAAACACATTAACAGGTGCAAGCTAAATTTTCGGAGGAGACGTAAGGGGCAAACACAGAACAAGCATATTTTGGGAACACTGACCTCCACGTGGTTGGATACTTTCTACAACATGCCAGAAGCAAAACAATACGACCTTGCAAGTGAAAGAAAGAACAAAGGCTTGTTTTCTAGCATTCGAAAATATGATTAGATCACAATTACTATTTTCATATTATTCCTTATGTTTACCGTTCCTTTTCCCACAACACCTTAACGAACACCTGCTGTTACCCCTGTTTGAGTGCGGTTCATAAACACATTCCACTGACGTGGTTGGACACGTACTTTTAGCACTGGACTCTGCTTTTAGCATTAATTGCGTATGGATGTGGACATGTTTTGCCGCTCGCATATATATACACCCAGATAGCATTCGGACGTTGGCCCAACGTTGGCAATGTTGGCAAAACAAGTGCCAACATTGGACCAACGTCTGAATGCTATCTGGGTAGTAGGATGCCCACAAAGGCCCTTGCCATACTTCGTCCTTTCTAATTGAAAGGCCCATTTCTGCCCCGCCGTGATATTGCTGGAATATTGCTAAAAGCGGCGTAAAACTAAACTCAGTCAGTCAGTCAGTCCAATTGAAAGGGTTTGGTATCTTGTGTTCACGAAATAGGTGTTCTATCGTCAGCAGATAGTGAATGAAGCGCACTGGATAGTGATTGAAACGCCTCATCAATATCTGTAAATACTGAAGCTGACAACATTCTGTCTACTGCTCAGTGCGACGTTTCGGTGTGGATTCTTTACCTTCACTGATATTGTGACTTTCTGTGACTGTGAGTCCAATATAAAAGGAACTATATCTAAGTCGATTAATTAACATAAGGCAGGAACATCACTTTGTTTTCATTTCCGGCATCCTCAATTATTCTCTCAGCAACCACTTCGAAGCAAAAAACTACATTTTGTTCACTTGCCACATGACACAGTGTTATGATACAGACAGACGTCTAACGGGTTCGGGTGGTCAGGCTCGCTGACTCGTTTGACACATGTCAGCGCATCCCAGCTGCGTAGATCAATGTTCATGTTGTTGATCACTGAATTGTCTGGTCCAGACTCGATTATATAATCACAGATCGCTGCCATATAGCTGGGAAATTGCTGAGTGCAGCGTCAAATTAAACTCACTCACCCAGTTCAGGTTAGCTAAATATTCTGAGAGGCAAAGCTGAACACATTGTTTTGAAATATCTCAATATTAAATTCTGATACTCTCCTCTTTGCTCCGTGCAATCTAATGTCGACGTGTGTATTATTAAAATATATAACGGCCCTTCTCCCACATTACGCTGACTGGAACACCGTTCAAGCGACGTTCAATGTCACTCACTACTCTGTATTGAACGCTAATCGTCGATTTGAGTTATTCAGCATGTCGCTGAGGCACGGGTAGTCCAGTAGCCTAGTTGGCGGAAACTTGCAGTCCAGACTTGTCCTGAGCCCCGCCTAAACCATGCACTGGCCACTGAATACACCGAAATTGAAACCGACATCGACCAACGGGTTCTATTTCCTTCTACATAATGCTACGAAAGGAGTTACGGATGGTAGATTTAAAACCTTAAAGTTTTGACAAACTGATGAATCCTGACGCTCGTCGTACACCACATTGATAAAACACACGAGACGGTGCCCAGTATCAAACTGTCTTCACTGCCAATATCTGACAACGAAAGTGGGCCACCCG